TGTTACGAAGAATTACAGTGTTTAAAGCTGATTTCGTTAGGATTTCTGCCCATCAGGAGAATATAATGAAACATCACACGAATCTGGTGCTTTTATGCCGACTTCTTAACATGTTTGAGTGTAACAAGCTGCTGCTTTGGACTAGGGATAATAAGGTCTCAAATGAATCTAAATGTGGCTTCGATCCAAGCCTGTGTCGGAAGGAGGCTGAGGATACAGTTAAATATGCTGGGGCTGTACCATTTGATTTCGAGATTAGGGCATATCCTCCACCGGATGTCTTTCAAAAGGATATATTTGAAGGTCTCGTTATATTGCGGCCTATTTCACAACTATCACTATTTGGCAGCCTAGTGCCAAATCTTTCTGCATATCTTGAGCGTTTATCACTATCAAAAGATTGGCATCTTATAATTGAATACTCACAAGAAAAGGTTAGTATTGACTTGAAGTCTATTCGGAATGCCGCTCCTAACTGTGCTAAAATCACCTTTATTCTTAAGGATAGCAGGGCTAAGGAACCAAAAATAACTGGACTTGAAACGATATCTAATGAAGATTTGCCTCTAGTTCTAACAGGAGATTTTAAGGTTATTAAATACATTGCAGAACACAATATGTCTTCAATTCATGTTCATGCTGTGTCATATGATGGTTTTGACACGATATTTACTGAATACTTAGACAAGCTCCCTAATACTGCACCAGCTTCTAAACCCCATGTCTTTGCACAGAAGTTTATCTGTGGAGTTTCGATTTATAGTCCCTGTGATTCTCCCGTTTACTACAAACAAGTACTATCCAGGAAATACTTGGTTAAATATGGTATTGATGTCCAAAAAGTCCAGATTGAGTACGATAAAAACCGAAATGACCTGCTTGATGGATTAACGAGTCTTTACAACGTTAATGCTTTGTTAAGGATCCCAGCGGATATTGAAGACAAGAAGATTGTCTGTCTTGGCCATGCACTTAGTGCCCCTTATTGGAAACTTGAAGAGCCCGTCAATCTCAAACTTAAGAATTTCAGAATCCAAATTCGCTGTCAGAATATATGTTACACATCGCTTAGTGTTAGTGGAGATAAGAACCCCCGCTGGGACCAGGTTGTCAAATGCGATATACTTCTCGACGAATTAAGGAGCATTAATGCCCAAGAACTTCGTATTTCAGATGTGCATGACCACCCTCCAACTGTTACTGACTTTGATCTAGCTAAGCTGAAAACCAATTTAGACAGTCCTCTAAAATACAGCCTCAATGTCGGGACTTTGATTCTAGATAATGTCGATGAATGTGT